TCGGAACGCTTGACATGCACTTCACTAGCAGTAGTAAAACCCATTGGTACTAGTTTTGCTGCTTCTATCTTAAATCAAACGAACGATTTAAATATAATTTTTCCAACCTAATGAAGACTGGTATACTTAACCCCTGTCTCACATTTCATTATGGATAGGTCTCAAATGAAAGTTTGAACTAACGCTTGTTTAACAAACGAATTTTCATCTCAGGATTTCTCCTTTAATCTTCTTGCAAGCTTAACTTATCCTTCATTTGGTTATATTAACAGTACAAAAGATAATGTCTTAATTAACAAAATAAATTATTTTACGAATATTTTTTCAGCTTTCTGTTCGCTTATGCCTTTGATAGCGTACAATTCTTTGCGTGGTGCATAAGCAATTGCTTCGAATGTACAGAAACCAGCTTCTTTCAGCTTTCGAATATCAGCAACGGATATACCAAACTGCTAAAAAAATTTCTGGAACATTAAGTTCAAACGGCAGCACTATAAAATTCTAATGAGTGCACTCAGTTAGAAGTTCATTGGTTTTTCAACCTTCCTCATCTCTCCTAAAAATCTCTCATAAAGTCTTAGTGAAGTATATTAAAAACTTGCCACTCTGCACTAAACTCATCCTTTTAATTAAGCAACTTTAAGCCAGAAAAACGAAGGAAAAATAGTTTATTGCTGATACCATTTTTGCACTTTTGCAATCTTATGAGATATGTGTCGAAGTTTTAGAAATATCAGACATGGAGCATAATATCAGATGAAGATTTTCGATATTAATTTCCACATTTTTTTTAAGGATTCCACACGTGCCCTAAATTTGGACACCAACCTAGACTCATTTGAAATCTTTGAAAGTAGGCCAAAATATAAGCAAATTTTAAACTTTACTGGGAAACATCAAACCTCAAGTTTATCGATAGTCGTGTAAGAATTAACATCTTCCTCCTCAGCTGATACAACCTTACTTGCTTCCTCTGCTACTGCAGCTGTCGGTTCTGCTGAAGTAGAAGCCTTTTGCTTTTCCTTTTGTCTCTGAGCCATTGCAAATAGGTGAAACTAAAATTAGCAGTACGCAAAATTTAATATCATTTAAAAGGGATAAAAAATTCAACACAAGAGAAAACAGACATGTCAGAACAAAACGATCGATCTAGCGTAAAAATTCACGTGCTACATGCAATAATGAAGACGCAGGAGAATAAAAATTCATATTACGATAAGTTCTAACTTATAAAAAATGAGCAATCATTTATGAGAAGTACGTGAAGAGGAACACGTAAAAACGGATGCCAAAAAAGCGCTCAAACAACAAATTCAAACCGACCAATGAGCGTTGCATCTTTCCCGAGCGGAGAATTGCAGCTCTCTATCCTTCGTAAAATTATATTAAAATTTTAGGTTTGGATATGAGGGAAAAGTGATTTCCAAAAAAGATAAACTATAAAATATATGCACAATTTAAATTCTCAGATCTGAACAATGATATTTTGAAAAAATTAAATGCGAGGTTAATTTTTCAGTTTCAAGTTTAAAATCTGGTATATTTAATGATTAATTTTTCAGCTTATGAATGCAAACCCATTACTAACTTTTTGTTGGATTTTTCAAGATTTGAGTTAACATTTAATCATTCATTTTTTTTCTTTTAATCTTTTCTAATACCATTACTTTCAAATATGCATTGAAATTTTGATTTTTGAACTTTAATTTTTTTGAAATTTGTCTCTAAAATTATACAACTGTATTTTTCCAGTTAGATTTCTCATTTGAAAATTTTCCACCTGAAAACATCAAAGTCAATTAATGCACCTGAAATTTGATGTCACAATTACCCATCATAAAAGTGGACAAATAAACTTTCCGACTGAGCAGCATACCACAAAATATAAGTAAATTTTTTGAAAACCAATCATAATAACTTCTTAAATAATATTTGAGCTTCTATTATTCTGACATTTTTTATTGCTTCCTATATGCATTCAACATTTCAGAATGTTGAAATTCAATTAATGAATATTTTATTTTTTTGTAATTCTTTTCTCAGCGTTATCAATGCCATCCAAACATTTTATATAGCATTTCTCCTCTCAATTTTTATAAAATATAGTATAAAGTTTTGTATTTTCTATAGATTAATATTTTTTTATTGAAACCATTTTGCGCACAAATATTTCAAATTCAGAAAGATTAGTATTATTATTTTTTTCAATTTTTTTTTTTTTTT